GGGCTTTATTAGCATATTGAGTTTTCAGTAAGTCCCTAAAAACCTTTCCAGTGATATAGCCTTCAAATGTATTTGAAGTTCCCTATCTAGCATAATAAAAGCCATTTAAAAACAGCACTAGCAATAAATGCTGCAGATGGGTGTGGTCTGCATACTAATGTCTCTCTGGCTCACATGGTGCTTCACCATTGTTCCTACAGCCTGAAAAGAAGGTTTTTCATATTAAATACTCAAAGAACTGAATTTGCAAAAGGAAGTAAGTGAAATTTAATTGGAATTAAGTTAATGTCTTCCTTAAAGAAAGGAAAGGTTTTTCTGAAGAGGGCCCAGGCTTTCCACATGGACATCTGAAACTGCAGCTGAGGCTTGGAGCCACTCCCTTCTGCAGTTGGCCGGCAGACTCCATCAGTACCACGAGACTAGCACCCAGTCTAGTCTCCTCCTGCACTGCTGTCTTTGCTGTGCCCTGCGCTAACCTGCACCCTCTGCTACATTATTCAACAGAGGAAGCTCTATTTCCAACAACTGCCTACATGCTCTCAGTGTGCTCTGTTGCCGGTTTTCCTCCCCTGACCTAGCCTGGGACCAAGTGCCTGAATAGAAACGAATGAATGAAGAGGCACTAGGACAAAAGACAGCTGGTTCCGAGTATAATTCTTCTTTGTCTGCCGTAATTTCACTGCTGAAATGACTTTTTTACCCTCCAGAATCTTCTCCACTGCAAAAAACTGAAAAATGACGAGCACTTCTAAAGGTAGAAACACTATTACAGGAGAAGCTACTAAACAAAGAATAAACACCCAGTGAGAGCATACTGAAATATTTAAATGAAAAAAAAAAAAATTTGGTTCTGGGGCTCACTACCCACTACAGGGTTTTCACTCTCATTACATTCAATAGACATTGTCTTCCTTGCCTTCCCCCCTCCCCTTCGTTCTTTAAGACTTCCATTGTCTATTCAGTAATATAATGGGGGCGGGGAGGGGGGGGAGGGAGGTTTGACAGGAAAGGGCGTTTCCCTGGGTCCTGAGCATAAAGGTAACCCACTTCACAAAAGGCTTGTCAAAACTGGGGCAAAACACACACACACACACACACACACACACACGTCAGGGCGGGGCAGGCCAGACATTCATTAAAGAGCTTGTCAAGTGAACTGTGATTTTGCTCCTAGCGCGGGGCAAATCGTTTTATTTAAGTTTAACAGTTGAATAAAAACCCTTCCGACCCCGACATTGGTGCAACGATTAAACGTGTACATTAAAAGTCTTCTGAGGCCAGAGGCTCAGTGCGGCCGAACCCCGCCCAGGGGTTCCAACGCCAGAGAAGCAAGACACAAACAACTCCTCCCCTGCGCCGCCCTGGCGCTGGCTGCCAGAGCTCCAGCAGGAAATCGGTTCCCCGTTAGGATACGGGCATCTCTCGACCGTACCGACGGGGCCGGCCGGGATCTTTTCCTACGAGCCTCAGCTCGGTTTTGTCGCCCTCCTTTCCTTGGCACCTCGTTCTTCCTCTCCCTGCCCCTGGGGACCACGTGAGAGAGAAGGGAGCCTCGCCGAGGGACGAGTTACACTGTGACCGTGCACACACACACACACACCCACACGGCCCGCCGCCACGATCCCCTTTCCCAGCCTCGGCGTGCTCATCACCCCGAGAGGCCGCGGCGGCGGGCGCAGAGCCTCCTTTGTTCCCGTCCCCGTGGGACGCTGGGAGCGCAGTGCTCGCTCCGCTCCCGCACCCTGCGCTGCGGCCGCGCGGCTTAGGGCTCTGCGGCAGACAAAAGCTCTAAACAAAGCACGAGGCGCCCACCCCGGCCCAGAGATTGCAAAGGAAAAGCAGCTCCTGCTGTCTCCGTAGCTTCTGGGAAACTGGGCCCACCCCTCGGCCCCGAAGAGCGGGGCACAGCGGATTCTTACCATGGCTGCTGCTTCGCGGCTCCGGGCAGATGGCGGAGGAGAGGAGAGGGAGGTTGCTGCTTCTTACAGCGCGACTCTTAGGCGGTCGATGTAAGAGAACCTGCGGCACAGGGGCGGATGCAGCTCCCT